AAGATCCTACATATGTAATTAAAGTGACAGTAACCACTCCTTCATATCCGTATAAAAGGAGGTCAAACTTTCAGTTACTGCAATTAGAAATTCTGAAGTTGAGTACCAATTAAAATAAGTGTTACAGATGCCCACTTTCTCCTATGCTATTCGCCCTCACCTTTGAGCCGTTCCTGGAGACGGTGCGCAGACCAGATGAGATCCTAGTCTTCCCCAGCACGGATACCACAGACAAAGTAGCAGCATCCGCAGATGACCTTTTGTTTTTATTAAAAACTCAGAGACAACCCTACCTCACTTGGTGGAAATGTTTGAGACATACAGGGAGATTTAGGGATTCAAATTGAACATGTCCAAATGTGAAGTACTCAACATCACAGTCTCAATGGCCCTGACCGACACACTGAAGAATCAATTCCCATTCAGATGGTGTATCTGAGAACAGCTCTCACTATGGATCTGGGAGACATGAACCGGGCGAACTTTCTACCTTTATTACAAAAAATACAACACGACCTGAAGACATGGTCTTATCCATATATATCATGGTTTGGCCGAATTGCGATCCTTAAAATGAACGTACTACCTCGGATCCTCTACCTATACCAGACGATGCCACTAGCCCTACCGACAGCATACTTTACATCTCTCCGATCTGCAATGCTGAGATTCATCTGGAACGTGGGACAGGCGAGACTCCAACAAGAAATCCTATGCCTACCATGAGCATGGGGAGGACTGGCGCTCCCAGACCTACAAAATAGAAATATAATAAACAAGTGACAAAGTGGCGCTTTTAGAATAATATTAAATACAATAAACAAGCTCCCAGACCTACGCAAATACCACCATGCAACAGTGCTACAGCGAGTCCTGGAGTGGCACACCCATCTGGCACACAAACAGTGGATTGACCTTGATAAATGTCATATTCGCCCGTCCATTCTCACAACACTATGGAACTCAAAATGACCTTCACAGGCGATCCTTGACCCTTTTTCCACAGTGGAACGGACGTGGTAAACATGGGATTGCATCAGACGAGCCCCACACCTATCCCCATCACCAAGCCCAATGATCCAGATAAAACCTAATCCCTGGATAGGGGGTGGGCTTCCGCCGACATTGCTCCCCATTCATAGGATACTGAACAACACAGGCATGCTACCAATGGAGCTGACGAACGGCAACCAACTTTCCAGTCTGCAAACCTTCCGCTATAAGCAAATTAAATACTTCTACCAGACCCTCCCACACAAAGAAGAACCTGTCATGGTTCGAGGCACTCTGCGACCACAAGACTAATCTGGACAATTCAATATCCCTTATATATCAACACCTACTCGTAGGACATCTAGGAAACAACAACACTTTTCGCCATCGCTGGGAATGCATACTGGATAAATCATTCACCGCAGCTCAATGGGAGAATATCCTACTCCTCCACCACAAATGCTCATCGAGTTTCAACTACCAGGAAACCAACTATAAACTCCTATTGTTCTGGTACAGAACACCCGACAGCTTAAACAGAATCTTTCCAACTATACTTGCTGGAGGTGCGGAGAAGGACAAGGGACAATACTGCCCATATGGTGGGAATGCTCACGCATTACGCCATTCTGGGAAGAGGTGAAATGGAAAACTAATCCCACTGTACTGGAAGCAGGATGTAACCCCAGCAATAGGGCAATGGCTGGAACGGGTGGAAGAGATATACAGGGCAGAATCAACGCAAGCCTTGCTTCTGGGTATAGTGGAGAAGCATGTGGAGAGGTGGCAGCCGTGGCTGACATATATAGCGGAGCCGGATGCAGGGGGAGGGGAATGGCCACATCCTTAGGGGGGCCTCCCACACCCCTGGTTGGGGATCACTGCCCTGCACATCACGTCCCATGTGGGTTTGTATGGGTCAGTCTATGTTAGCACTCCAAGAAAGATACCTCTAATTTCGTGACCTCCCCTGTACCCGATGGATAGACAGTCTTCTCAACCAGCATGGATCTGATTGTGCAACCTATTCCCTGCAAGGTAAGATCAGGGAAAAGGGGAATATTCTTTTTTTCTTTTTAAACAGTTAAAGTAAAAATTGTAAATCTCTTCCCTATCCCACTCTCTACACCCCCCTGAACACAGAACACCTTCACAGACAGTGAACCCCTCACATACAGTACACTCCCATCAACACCTTTGCATACACACACAGTGCACCCCTCAGACATACACATGCATACATACATACATACATGCTCCACGCCATTTCACACCGAATCTTATAGATATAATAATATAATAACTACAGCTCCTTGATAAGCACACAATGCAACCCCAATACACATACACTCACAATGCAGCCCCTAGATGCACATGCACACACTTTACAGGCCCTTTCAACACACACACAATCTCAAAAGCTCCTATATGTTAGGGTCTTACCTGGGTTGGGAGTCTGTAATGCAGATTTGCTGCTCACCCTTGCAGATAGCCACAGGCCAATGTGGTCAGGTAAGAATTCACCTGGCCTGTGGGTCTGTGCAGGATGAAGTACCAAGTCGCAGGACAGGCAAGGACTCAAACAACAGGATCGTCTAGGGATAGCCAAAGTCAAGGGATGCCAGAGGTCAGAAGCCGGGGTTAATAATAAGTAGCAGATCAAACAGGAACACTGGTATAGAACACACAACAGGATCAAAGATCTTGATCTTGATCACAGGGTGAGGCTGAGTTTAAATACCCTGCTGATGTCTGATCAGGGTCAGGTGAAGCACAGCCATAGTCAAGGTACAGCCCCCAGAGTAATAGACATGCCAGGATGAACAGGACAGGCCTGCGAAGTTCCCCAGTTCAAATCTCCTGTAGGGAACTCCTTGTGCGACCACAGTTTCCAGTTTATGTGAAAAGGTGTCCTGTCTGTACTCTACTCCCAGAGCCAGATCTCTCTTCGCAGCAGTGGAACTTCAGGGAGTGCTGGTGTTGTGGTTACACCGGGGCCCATCAAGTGGCTGACAAATGCCAGGCGCCAGGGCAATCAGCGGACCTCGCGATCACATGGACGGCATAGCCGTCCAAGGCATTGCCAGCAGGGGGAGTGCCTGTAATGACAGGTACTCCCCTGCTGGCTGAAAAAAAATGTTTAAAACAGTGTAAAATTAAAAAATGTATACTTAGATCATATATACATTTATTATACATATGATCTAAGTATATATATATATATATATATATATATATACACACATACACATAAATATACATACACTTTCTAAGTGTATTTTAATATTTATATATATATATAATTATATATATTTATTCATATCAAAGTATGCATACAATGATATTGATTAAATATATAATTATCATTATATACATTTATATACAATATAAAATAAATAAATACGTAAAAATAAATAAATACATAAAAATATATATATATGTAATTTCGTTCTAACTGTATCTTAAAATGAATATATGTATATATTGATATCAAAATACATATAGAACAAAATAATATATATATTTTTATATATATGTACATACCTATATATAATTAAAATAATTTGAAAAATGATATACATATATATATATATATATATATATATATATATATATATATATATACACATATATATATACACTCAATATATATAATAATTCTACGTATATATTTATGTAATAATTTTATCACATGACGGAAGGCTTCGTATTTTGCATAATATTTCTTTACTAACTCCATAGCAGCAAAGAAAAGAGTGACATAACTAAGAACCTGTCACACTGCAGTATAGAGTATAAGAGGTGTAACATATGACATCATTTTCTCTTTCTTTGCTGCTCCATCACAAGATAAGTACAGATTTGGTTTATCCTCTCTGTCCTTACACTTCTGTGTTTTATATCATAATTTGTAGCTATTATTTTACTGTATTTCTGTTACTATTATCTTTTGGGGCTATCCCCCTTTGTTTCTGGGGCCCCACTAGCTCTGGGACCTTTCTAATCTTTTTTCTCCCCTATTCCGTTTACAGGAGGTCTTACCGGCATTCTCGCCGTCTTCACCTCTACTCCCAGAGCCAGATCTCTCTTCGCAGTATTTCCCGCCTTTCAACGTCGTTCGCACCCTCTTTTCTCTTCGCGAACGACACTGTCTTACCGTTCATTCACATAGGTTCGTTTAATTTGCCGAACGCCTATCGTTCGGCAAATTTCCCATGAACGCCTTCTATTAGGCGCTCGCGTTCGTTTTGTGCACCGAACACCCGCACCACCTATTGGCGCTCGCGTTCAGCTAGTTCATTGCGCACGAACGCCCGGCGTTCGTGTGACTCCTTTTGCCGCTCTACATCTGGGGGAGGTACTAAAACCTAAATTTCAACTGCCAAATACTCTGGATTATTCTTCAGAATTCTGCATCCTTTTCACATCTCACTGTGGGACCAGTATCAGGTTAGTGCTTTGCACTTGGGGTCGGTTTAAGCCAGTTGGATTATCCTTATTCTGGCAGGGGTGAGCCCCCATTCATGTGCTGCTGAACGGACCTGTCCATGCAGGATTCCGAATTCCTGGGTGAGCCCCAGTAACAGCCCTCAATATCTTACTTGACCTACCAGTCACATAACCTCTCAGGTTAACCATTACCTACTTCTATACCACCCCCTGGTCCCCAGGCCTCTCCAATTTTTTGTGCCTCTAGTGCCCTCACGCATGTTTACTGGGTGAGCCCCAAGTGTGATTATAAGACCATGGAAGAATCTCAAAACCCCTCAGATCTCCAGGCCATGATTGCAGCAGCTGTAGCTGCATCTATGGAAAAGGCCTTTGCTAAATCGTTCCAATCGGAACAGGACGCTTCTAAGCCCATTCCCAAGCGGGCTCACTATGGGGCTGATTCTGAGGACTCCGATTCCTCCAGGGAACACTCCCATCCCCCTAAGCGCCACTGGAAAGGCGAGTCCATGGGACCACGTAAGTCCAAAGGAAAGGCCCCTGCTAAACGCAGAAGAGACACGAGCAGATCATCCCAAAAACCCGCTCAGGCTTCCTAGGGGGAAGATGATGCAGGACCAGCACACACTCTAGCCGTGGTTGATGAATGGCAGACGGCAGCCTCCGACAAGGAGGAATCCGACTGGGACTCCGCTGCCAACTCTGACCCTTATCTCGTAAGGGAACAGACCCTGGGTGAGCCCCAGGAATCCGTGGCCACAACCTTGGACAACCCACAAGAAGGTTCAGAGATATTCCTGGACAACTTTGGCCTCCGAATGTTCGATCCTTGGAACATTCGCCATCCCCGTTCGGAAGAATGGACGCCACCCGAACACTTGAACAGATTCATGCACTTCGGGCTCCGGAAGCCTCTGGACAAGGAAGTGAGAAAGCGTATGAGATCTGAATGCCCGAGCCCGAGCCTACCAGACAAGGTAGCACATACCCCCGAGTTCAACCCGCTTATGACCACATTCATGTCCCGTGGGGGTTGGGACCCACGCACGGGCGTGGAACGTGGCTTTAAGGGAGCCCAAGACAAATTGCTGGACGCCATCGGGCCATTGGCGAGGATCTTGGACATGGCGGATGACACCTATGAAAGGGCTGATGACTTCACCCCAGATATGGTGCGTGAGTGGGCACGGGATACCTGAGAGTGGGCACATAGAGGCTTCTGTTTCCTCGGGAACACGAACGTGGCCCTCTCTGCGGAGAGGCGCCAAGCAGCACTTTTTCGCATTGACGACAAACTTGTCGAACTGGGGGATAAGGAATTGGGCCCCTTGGCACAGGGCAAGCTGTTTGGAGAGGCCTTCCTTACTGAGCTTAATAAGAGGGTCAATATATTCACATCCCTCAATAAGACGCAAACATCAATGCGGAAAGTATTCCGCAGCCCCAACACCCGAGGTGTTTTTGGGAGGGCTGGTCGGCAGAGGGGCCGTGCCACCAGCCGCTTCTGGCCATACGGCCCCTGCACAACCAGGACACAGCCATTCTACCCGGATTCATCTGCCCACCATCGATTCCACCAGTTTAGGGGATCGGACCGTGGCGGCTGAGGACGCTCCAGAGCGAGATTCTCTAACGGTAAGTCACCATTCTACCCTACCTCTAACCTCTTGCCATATCGCAGGTCGTGTTTCTCTTTTTTTCCAGAATTGGGCAGACCTATCCTCCAACACATGGATACTTCAGACAGTGCGGGGCTATCAAATAGAATTTGAGACAACACCACTCCAACAGACCCCACCATGCCCGATCCAACTTACACGGGCGGCCGCTTCTTTGATAAACTCGGAACTTCAAGACTTACGTTCCAAGGGTGCCATCCAACCAGCTCCGGACTCAACCGGGTTCTACAGCAATATATTCCTGGTCAGGAAGAAAACCGGGGAATTCCGACCCATCATCAACCTCAGGGAGCTCAATTCCCATGTGGTGTACCGCCACTTCAAGATGGAGGGTATCCACCTTCTTCGGGACCTGCTTCGAGACAATGATTGTTTCACGCGTCTAGACCTCAAGGACGCATACCTTACCATCCCCGTGCACAAAAGGAGCTGCTCATATCTCTGTTTCTACTGGCACAAGACACCTTGGCAATACACATGTCTCCTGTTTGGCCTCAGTTTGGCCCCATGGTGTTTCACCAAAATGATAAAACCGGTAATGGCAAAACTGAGGGCCCAAGGCATAAGATGCATTGTCTACCTCGACAACATCTTGATATTCGACGAGGATGCAAGGTCCTTAGAGAGGCTGTACACCTACTCGAGTTTCGTTATCAACCGCCCCAAGTCATCACTGATTCCTGCTCAGTCGATCGAATTCCTTGGATTCAAGATCGACTCAACATCGTGCACTCTACGCCTTCCGGCCGCAAAGATTGCCTCCATCCGCAGAGAAATTCGGAAGGTCCTTCAACTGACATCCATACCTTTACGACTGCTGGCACGGATTGTGGGCCTTCTCTCGTCATCCATCCAGGCCATCTTCCCCGGACCCCTGCATTACAGAGCCATGCAACGCCTCAAGGCAAAATTCCTTCGCAAAAATCCAACATACGACCAACTGGTCCCTATGTCGGACAAGGTTCCGGGAAGAATTGCACTGCTGGCTGAACTGCATGCAGGCCTGGAATGGCCGGGCCATATTCGGAAACCAGCCAGACTTCGTACTGGAGTCAGATGCCAGGAACTTTCTATGCACATCAACTGCCTGGAGCTCCTGGCAGGATCGTTCGCCATTTGCAGCCTGGCAAAGGAACGATCCAACTGCTGCATCTTGCTCCGGATGGACAATGTCTCGGCGGTAAGATACATCAACCGACTCGGGGGCACCCGTTCCCAAGCACTAGTAGAACTCACAAAGGAAATATTCGATTATTGCCTGCCTCACAACATCACGCTGTTAGCGGAACACCTACCAGGGGAATCCAACATGACAGCAGATTGGTTCTCACGCCACTGGCAGGACGCCAGCGACTGGCAACTAGACCCCCACGATACTGGATGCACAAAGGGGTCCCTTCTCCCTAGATTTATTTGCCTCCCGCAACAACCGTCAGACAAAGGACTTCTTCACCTGGCTCCCAGACCCGGAGAGTCTAGCAACGGACGCTTTTCTACAACAATGGCCACAATATGGAGCTTACGCATTCCCGCCATTCTCAATGATTACGAGGGTTCTTCACCGGATACGCATACAGAGGGTGATGCTGACCCTCATCACGCCTCTTCTGAAACTGTCGAACAGAGATCCCCTCCTCCTACCAGATACTGCGACCATCCTCAGGAACCTGATGGGACTACCCCATCCGCTGGTCATGGAGGAACGGCTTCCTCTGGTGGCCTGGACTCTTTCAGGGGTTCCTGGCGAACCGAGGATTTATCGCAGGAAACTAGGGATCTCCTCTGGGATTCATGGGCGCCAGGAACTAGGAGGTGCTACTTATCAGCATGGCACTGCTGGACATCTTGGTGTCTGGGACGGGTTCTCAATCCCTTTACGGCACCTATTCCCTCCATCATGAATTTCCTCACCTCTCTATTCACAGCCGGGAAATCATACCAGTCCATCAACGTGATACGTTCAGCCATCTCAGCGGCTCACACGCTGACTCAAGGGACACCGATGAGCCAGAACCTACTCTGTAATCTGTAGACTCCTCCGCGGCATGTGCCTTCGGCGCCCCCCGGAACCCAAATACTCGAGACTTTGGGACGTTGGCATTGTCTTACAGTTTTTACGGGACTGGCCTCCTATCAAGAATTTATCACTCCTCCAGCTTACGGCGAAATTCACCTTCCTGCTCTGCCTAGTCTCCTTTCGTCGGGTGTCCGATGTACGCGCTTTTGACGCCGACACATTTACCTTTTGTCCAGCGGGAGTAACCTTCCGGGTCTCTAGATGCATGAAGTTCGACTCTTCCTCTGTTTTTTACCCCTTTTTTCCCTCAGACCCTCAGCTCTGTGTGGTCTCTACTCTCCGTCAATACGTGGAAGCTACTGCGACATTGCAGCCTACTTCCAATCGTCAACTTCTCATCTCTTACATCCGCCCCTATGGTCCAGTCTCGGTCACTACGTTGGCCAGATGGGTTAGATGGCTCTTAGCCCTTGCCGGGATTGACCAGGCTTTTGGAGCACACTCAATTCGAGGGGCCGCGGCCTCTTCCGCCTACGCGGCAGGGGCCTCCCTTCCAGATATTTTGCGAGCGGCGGACTGGACTAGAGAATCCACCTTTAGGATGTTTTACTTCCGACCTCCTTCTAATCCAGCTTTTGCTCTACTTTCTCAGCGTTGAAATTGCAAAATACGAAGCCTCCTGTCATGTGATAAAATTGAAGATTATGCTATCTTTAGTGTACAGATAATCTTCATTTTAATAATGACAGGAGCACTTGCCCCCCCCTGGATTTTTCAGCTTGTGCTGCAATTTTTGGTTTATGTGAGAATACACTGCAATACCGGCGCCGGCAGTAGGTGGCGCTGTGAATGTTAAAATGCAGGAAGCTACAGCTTATCCTTGCCTCTCGCTCATGACTGAAACCGCAGGGGAGCAGCACAGAGGCAGCCTACAGAGCAGGTAAGTGAGGGATGGGGGTATTATTACCCCCTCACCATCCCCCTCACTATCACTCCCCCAACCACCCTCAGCATCACCACCCTCAGCATCCCCCCCTCACTATCACACCCCCTCACCACCCTCAGCATTACCCCCTATCACCCACCTCAGCACCTCCCTCTCACCACCTACTACCTCAGCATCACCCCCATCACCCACCCTCAGCATCCCCCTACTATCACACCCCTCACCTCTAGCATCCTCACTATCACCCTCACCACCTCAGCATCACCTCCCTAATACCTACCCTCAGCATTCCCTCACTACTACCACCCCTGTGCATCACCTCCCATCACTCATCACCCTCACTCACCTCAGCATCACCTTTCACTATCACCCCTCACTATCAATTTCACTCACTTTCAGCATCACTCCCACCACCTCTGCATCACTTCTAGCATCAATTTCCTTACTATCCTCTCACTACCTCATTTTACATTCTCTACTATCTCTAGCATCAACTCCGCTCTACACTCCTCAGCATCAGCTCCCTACGGCCACTCCTCTACACTGCTGTCACTTCTCCTGGGCCATACCTCTACTAATACCTCAGCTCACCTCTGTATCACTCCCTCACTATCACCCCTCTACTCCCATCAGCATTACTTCCCTCTCCTCAGTATCACTCCTTCACTACCTCGTAGCATGTCCTCCTCAGCATTACCCGGAATCTACTTAAATACACTCTAGCAATACCTCTTCACTATCAATTTTCCCTACCACTCCTCCGTATTATCCTCTCTACTATACCTCCTTTTCTTACACTTTCAGCATACCTCCCTCCTCAGTATCAATTTCTCATTATCAATACCTACTCCTCAGCATCACCTCCCCACTCACCCTCTGTGCATTACCCTCACTATCACCCTTCAGTATCAATACTCCCACTATCACCTCTGACTACCTCAGCATACCCTCTCCTCAGCATTACCCCCTCCCTTAGCATAACCACCCTCACCATCACTCCTTCCCTCAGCATCTCCCCCCTCACCACCCACAGCATTACCCCCATCACCCCCTCCCTCAGCAGCATTACCCCCTCCGTCACCATCACCCCCTCCCTCAGCATTATGCTCACAGAGACATACATTCACACGGATACTCTCTGTCAGATACACTCTCAGGCACATACACGGGTAAACTGTGCATCAATGTGTATATGTGACAGTGTGCATTTATTGCAACTCTATTTTTTTCACTTTTTTGTTAGTGGGGCCTCATGTTTGAGTTTCGCCTAAGGCCTCATAAAGTCTAGACCTGCCTCTGCAAAAGGAGCCTCAGAAGAAAAAGAAGACTGTCAAATGAAGGAGAAGAAAATGAGATTGGAGCACTTCATTCTGGACAGCACATCATAAGGCTTTGGTACCTGGGCCTGGCAGGGAAACTTTGGACCTTCTCATCTCCCCAGGTAAAAAAAAAATTATCAGTGTTAATGTGTTCACTTTAATTTACTGAGTGTCAGGAAACACAGAGGGTCACTGGGTAGGGGTGCCGCTGATTGGCTAGAGGGTCAGCTGGCACTCTAAGCCAATCAGTAGCTCCCCATTCATGAAAACGTAAAACATTTTTATGAATCGGGAACTAGCGATTGGCTTAGAGCGTCAGCTGACCACTCTAGCCTGACGTCAATTTGCAGTTCCTGACACTCCGTTTAAGAAGCTGAATACCACTGAGCGACCTGGAGATCTGGAGCTGGAGGGAGCCTTTGGGGGTAAACCATTCAAGAGTGGTTTCACCCTATAAAGGAAAGACAGCGCCCAGGGGCCTCCTTGCATCATAGCATTTTCATTTAGTTGAAGTTGTTATGGTGACCAGAATGTTCCTTTAATTTGATTAAAGGAACATTATAGTGTCAGGAATACAAACATATATTCCTGACACCATAGTTGTAAAAAAGCTATTCATACTGGCTTTATGTGAAAATGACTATGCTCCTTCCCTTTCATGACACTATCATAAGGGATAGACAGTTCATTGTTTTTACACAACCATTTTTTGGAATCTAATACCCTTTATATTCTCATTTCAATTTAACCAGATTCATCAAGACACCAAAGACTCCATTCAAGATGTCATCATCGTCTTGTCATGGAAGATTGTCACTTGACATCGAGAAGTCTTCGCTTGGAGACTATCTGTTTATGTTCAGTTTACACGTTGTTCTACCACTATCTTACCATGGACCTTTACGAGCTATCTGCTATTCTGCATTGTGATATTGTGATGTTGCATGCTTTAAGAGGAAATGATGTCATATGTTACACCTCTTATACTCTATACTGCATTGTGATTGGTTCTTAGTTATGTCACTCTTTTCTTTGCTGCTATAGATTTAGTAAAGAAAGATTATGCAAAATACGAAGCCTCCTGTCATTATTAAAATTAAGATTATCTGTACAACTAGCATAATCTTCAATTTTACATAATAAGGTCATTTTATTAATTACAATTAGCGGGACCTGCCTGACAACCCAGGCCAAAAGACCAGGGAATTTAATTTTCTAGCACTATATTTGTTTCCAAGACACCATAAAACCTGTACATGGGGGGTACTGTTTTACTCGGAACACTTCGCTGAACACAAATATTAGTGTTTCAAAACAGTAAAATGTATTACAACAATATCGTCAGTGAAAGTGAAATTTTTTGCCTTTTTCACACACAAATGGCACTTAAACTGATGATATAATCGTTGTGATACGTTTTACTGTTTTGAAACACTAATATTTGTGTTCAGCGAAGTCTCCCGAGTATAACAGTACCCCCATGTACAGGTTTTATGGTGTTTTCAAAAGTTACTGAGTCAATGTTGACTTTGAGACCGTACGGTAGCCCAGGAATGAAAATTACCCCCATGATGGCATACCATTTGCAATAGTAGACAACTAAAGGTATTGCAAATGGGGTATGTTCAGTCTTTTTTAGTAGCCACAAACACTGGCCTAAATTGGCATTCAAATTCATTTTTTGCATTTTCAAATATTAACACTAACTTTGGCAAGTGTTTGTGACCAAGTGGCTACTAAAAAAGACTAGACATACCCCATTTGCAATACCTTGGGTTGTATACTTTTGATGATATGCCATCATTGGGGTAATTCTTATTCCTGGGCTACCATACGATCTCAAAGGCAACGTAACCAATCTGGCGAATTTTAATGTGAAAAATGAAAAAATGTAACACGCTATATTTGACCCTGTAACTTCCCAAAACATAATAAAACCTGTCCGTGGGGGGTACTGTTTTACACGTGAGAAATCGCTGAATACAAATATGTGTATTTTATTGCAGTAAAAGCAAACAGTATTATGACATTCACAGTTAGAATGTCACGTAGAACTAAAGAATTTTTTACAAATTCTTATTTTTCCCCATTTTTTTTATATTTTATTCATATTAAATTATGTTTCATACCTAAATATTTGATGTTAAATGGAAGCTCTGTTTCCCCTGAATAAAATGATGTATAAGTGTAGGTGCACATAATATGAAAGAGTTGACTTACGCCTGAACAGACATATAGTGCAAATTCCAGTTTTTGTTTACGTTTTGTTTTGATCACAACGAGTCCATTTGGCTTGGTCCTTAGGGGGTTAAATATACAAAAGTAAATCATCTACATCTTTGAGCAGAATAATGAATGATCTACAAATTTACTTTTAACATCTAGCTAGATGCTGTGATTATTACATGAACTGGGTGGTTTCCAAATCGTCCTTGTGCTTCCCAAATCAATTTACTATGAAACTATTTAATCACTTTTATTTAGTAATATATATAGCCCTATGATTACACAAAAATCTGGATAGTAAAAAAAAAAAAAAGAAAACATAGCAAAAAAAACCCCCCAAAAAATAAAATCCCCAAATATACATTTTATTTGAGTTTTTGTTTTTCTTTTTAATTAAATTTTTTTTTGATTATTTATCAATATTATTTTTATATTGTACTTTTTTGTGTAAAAAAATTTTCTACTTTTTTTATTCAGAGATACACTGATGTATTTTCAGCAAGGTTGTGTGTGTTAAATGATCTATGTTTTTCTTTCACTTGGCATTAAAATCTGCCTTTTCATCAAGTCTGTGGAGTGCAGTACAAGTCCTCTATTGATCACTTCCTGCCCTTTAAGGCATCTTGATGTGTCCACTGGACTGATGTGGCACCTAGGGGCTCTGGCTAGTGTTCATTTTTGGTGGGCTTTTTCAACCCATCATTATTATTCCATCTAATTTTTTCAAACCATCATCATCAGGTGACTGCTTTCAGATACAGCTACCTATGTATCTACACATTTATCCCTCTAGATCTTATTCTAGATCTTCCCTTGTCCACTTCCAGCAGTGTTCTGACTATATATCTAGCCTCTGGGTGCTGGGACGCACATTAACCATTTGCTGCTCAGCACATGGTTGTACTTCTGGGGAGACATGGGGGATTGGTAGGGGAGAACTCCAGGTGACATTGAGTCGAATGCTGGGCTTTTCTGAATGGTTACATATTCTTCTGTCTTCATGGCCATGTAAAGAACCAATGAGTCAGGTATCATGGGTGTTTGCAACATAACATATTATGGTAGGAGTTACCCTTTTTTTAAACTAGCCTTTGTATAAATGGTTCCCATGAAGGACAGAGCCTATGCAGGGTAGAGGTTTGCCAACTAGCCTAGAAAATATTCTGTGGACAACCCTGATTCAAGGGTTCCTGTTTAAAGGCTAACTTAATTATTCATTGTTATCATTGTTATAAGAATGCAAGATATCAGTGTGAGACTATCGTGATATTAATGGTGATTATGATCTACAAAGGCTTGCTAGAAACTCATTCAAAAACATTGTTTAAAATTGCTGGTGCAACAAAGAGGAAGGAATCACCCTTTAAGAGTTTGCTTCCACACACATTCACACACATTAAACATCAATCTTCTTTTGCATTAATACTGACAGTAACATAGTTACATGGGATGCAGGACTATCTGGTATTTGTTTCTGTATGTTGGCCGAGCATCACAGATGGAAGCTCATCAAACGGCAAGGTGAGGTAGGTTAGAGGAAGTCATATAAAATATAGAGACAAAGAGACAATAAAGTGGGAGCGGCAGCTTGACCAATGACAGATATACAGAGAGAAAGGGAAGGAGAATGAGACAGTGTGAGGGACATAGGAAAGAGCCAGAGGAAGTGTGTGTGAGGATTACATAAATCAAACAGCAGATAAACAGGGTGTGAGGGAGAGGCATTAACAGTAGGATGCTAAGAGAGAGAGAGAAAACTGGATCATGAAGCAGTGACAGATTCATTCTAAAAGAGGACTGTGTGAAAGGGAGGCAGACATGCATTGAGAGATAGAGCCACAGAGATAAAACAGTGAGAGATAATGATTGATTGAGAGAGATAGACAAATTCGATTTGTGAGAATGAATATAAGAATATATTGGTAAACTAAGCATGCTTAGGAAAGAATGACCACAGAGACCACTCTGTAGCAGAGACACGTAGGGGCTATTTACTAAACACTTGATTTTTACTGGATGGAAACTATCCAGGGAAAATGACTGAATTCCGACTGCAATGGCAATTCTCATTTATACTAAAGCCAAGCCTGTGAAATAATGGGGTGGGGATATACTGCCCCATGCCCCCACCTGTTGTAACCAGATAAGCTCCCTTAAATAAGTCATTGAAGATTAGTGTCCACCTCCTGATTGGGAGAATGTTTTCAGTTTCCAGGCTTAATGTTGGCCTATCTATCCATGTAGAAATATAAAAATAAATAAATATTTATTGGTTTTACAGTTTTATAGTAAAACATGCACATAAGAGCAGTGTTCACAATGTTTCTAATTAATTATAAATATGGCCTGTGAATGTATATTCATATTTAAGAGAAATGCCATGGACGTAGTCAGAAGATAGGGAGGTGTCAAACTCCACCCTTCTCTTTAGAAACCATACCTGCTGGTTTATCAGACTTATATGAAATTTGAAAATGGATGACAGAATGAAACACATCTTTATTTTATTTGTTTACAACACCTACTGTAAATTGTATATTACTCAGTATGTATCATCAAGATCCTCAGCAACCTAACACAGGAACAGGATGAATGATAAAAAGGCATATTACTGGTCCTTAGAGTGGTCAGGTTATATAAATATCAGCACTATATTGAACAACTAATACATGCAAGTAAGGCAAAACTCAAAGTCATGACAATCCAGGTCAGGAAAACGAGAAATACAAATTGTTTACAAGGACTAGAGAAACGCAGTCAGGAACATAGCCGGGTCAATTAAACTAGGAAGCGTAACTCTGAATAAACACAAGCCAGGTCAAAACCAGAACAGCAGAACTACACAATAATGCTCTTTCAGAAACCACAAAAATGCATGCCTCTGCTCTAATCCTGTACTTGTGTAGCACAGTTACTGCTGCCAATTCTACAACAATGTGCCTCTATTGCTGCTTCAATTCTGCACCGCTGTGCCATTCTGTTGTCATTTCTGACATGTACCATTATGGACATTTATTTTATCCAAACCAGAGAAACTACTGCACTATTCTTGAGTCAAAAATGTTCTGACATAACTTCACTGATATCAACCAATGATACTTCATTACAAATGATTAATTGCCCTGTCATGGTGTCGTATTACCCAAGAGTGCGTTATATTAGAGTTTGTTTTCTGGCTTATGACTTTAGCTTGGATGTTGTTTGTGCTGTTCTCTGTTATGCCTGACCTTCACTTGTGTTCTTATTATGTTCACCTTCTGTACTCTAAAGATCTGTCTCTTTGCAAATTGCTTCATCATTCCTGGCATTGTGTTAAGCTTGGCCATTCTAAGGGCCGGGAATAAGCTACCACCCTGTCTTTTCTCTTTATCGTGGAGATGTGATGTTCTGTGTGTCAGGGTCATTTGTATTTCTGACTCTCATATGCCATAGGAACTCACTCTGAAAGTCGACTCTTTGTTTCCAGCGTAGTCAGTGAGTGTGCGGATAGTGACTGATTTCCTGCACATATCAACATGACTCGTCTATGGTGTAATAACCTAGTTGGCAGAATATTTGTGCGTGGACTTTTGGTAAATCTGGATATAATGTCATAGTTGAAACATTTTAATCAATGGTCAGTTGTGCCAAATATTCAAGTTGTCTCCTCATAACACAAGCATCACTAGGTGGTATTGTGAGAAAATAAAATATAAAGAATCTGTGGAGGGCATATGAAGCTTGATACCCCTTTAAAGCCATTGCGGCGGCATAGAACGCCGTAACGGCTTA